GCTGTTTCTCCTCAATTTGAGTGGTGCCACATCAGCAAATGGAGGTCTTGAAAGCTTTACCTTATCCATAAGAGTAAGGCTGGGTTTACTCTGATGATGCAGCTCTTTCCCAGTCCTATTTTGAGAGCTAACCAGACTATTAATAAAGTTGCAAGGTAATATATCAGACAATGTTCCTTTGCTATTCATAAGGTTTTCCCTGGCCAATTCTTTGAGAAGTGCATGGACTCTTCCTTCTTCCTAGTCTGTCTCAGTCTGTAAGCTGGGCTGCTACCTGTGTACCATGTGCATCCCACTAGGTTTGAAACACCAGTGGCTCAGCCTCAAAACTCACATCAACATGTTACCACGGTAGGACAAACCGACAAATAAGTTTGTCTCCCTGTTGGAAACCTCTCATACCACCCTTACCTGTGTCCCTGTGGCTGACTGCTCCTCTGTCCAGGTCCTTGGGCCACACTTACACTCACTAGCATTGCTATTATCAAGCAGAATGGAAAACAACAAGTATCAGTGTAGATGTAGAGAAACTGGAACCCTAATCCACTGTTGGTGGGACTGTAAAATGGTGCAACCACTGTAGAGAACAATTTGGTATTTACTCAAAAAGTTAAACATAGAACTACCATGTGACCCAACAATCCCAATCCTATATATATATATATATATATATATCAAAAAAACTTCATAGCAGAGACTCACAATGGTACACCAGTGTTCATTGAAGCATTATTCACAATAGCCAAAAGGTAGAAACAGCACAAATATCCATTAAGTGATGAATGGATAAACGAGGTGTGGTGCATACATACAATGGAATATTATTCAGCCATAAAGAGAAATATGTTCTGAAACATGCTAAGACATGGATGGATCTTGAAAACATTATGCTGAATGAAGTAAGTCAGACATAAAAAGACAAATACTGCAGATCCCACTTTCATGAAATATCTAGGATAGGTAAATAGATAGAGACAAAAGTTTATTAGTGTTTACCAGGCGCAGGTGGGAGGGGATTGGGGGATTCACTGCCTAGGGGGCACTGAGTTTCTGTTAAGGGTGATAAAAAAATTTGGAAATGGATAGTTATGATGGTTTTATAACATGGTGGATATAAGTTTACACTGAACTGTACATGTAAAACTATAAAATTATAAGTGTAAAAATGGTTGAAATAGCAAATATTTTCTTGTATCTATTTTACCACAATTATAAAAAAGGCACACATGGCAAAGTATTTTTCTACAGCTATGATGTAAGTTGAAAGTTTGAATGTTTCAAAGTATGTGTAGATAATCAGTGTATCTGACAGCCCACCCCATTGTGTTTTAAAGCTTTTGTTCTAATCAAATATTAGCCACATGAATTCATGAGAAGGCAACAATATGAAAAAGACTTTATTAAGCTTCTGCCACATTCTATTATGCTCTTTAAGTATTAGTCTATCCTGTTTACCCTTCGCTGACAAACTAGATTATATTTTCTTTCCTAAATCAACAGGATTCTACTACATTGCACAAAAGATAGAGACCTTAGGATTTCAAAAAGAAGGATCTGGAAACAAAGAGTGTCAAAGGCATGACTTTAAAAGGGGGAAAAATTGTGCTCAGGAAAATAATAAGCAGAATCATATTCTAAATCTTTTTCCAAATGCTGCATAAAATACTTGACATTATTACAATGCTGAAAATCCTCTCCCGGATCTGCAAGCTGCAATTCTGACAACTTGTGTGCCCTGTATCTGTAACCAAACCACTGTAATCTCTATAAATCTCTCACTTAGCCAGGGAGACCCTTGTATGACCCAGGTAAAGTGCAGGGTTGCAAATCAACTGAAATTGGGGTAGAGAACATAATTTTTTTCATTCAAAATGCATATCCTCCGGTCCTTTTAGAGTCTTTTATACTGCCCAGGAGATCTAAGATATTCCTGTATATTGTTTGTTTCACTCAGGTAAAATCAAAGTAGGCATTTTATAATGGGGTAAGATAACACATAGGTAAAGAAAATGGGATAAAACCACAAACTTTGAGGATCAAAGCATAGCGGTAAAAAATACAATAACCCAGGTTTCATTATCTTGTCATATAAAAGCCATCTTTGTATTAGAGCTAGTGGGTTCTCTGGATGAGAGAGCTGTACAAGATTCTAGAACTGGTTTCATCAAAGCCCAAAACTACCAATAATTTTACATATTTATGGCACTTTCCTGTGGTCACAAATTCAGCTCATTGGAATGGCATTAGATAACCAATGTGATGGGAATATGTGGATTAAAGAAGGCTGCGATTTCCCTGGTATTGCTCCCATGCATGTCATCAAAAGGGGTTTCTTTCCCTTGAACCTGATGGGTTCTGTGACTGCTTTGACCAACAAAATAGAGCAAAGTGATGCTGTGTAAGTTTATAAGTAGAGATCTTAACAAACAGGTAACTTCCAACTCCAGTAATTTGGAATACTCTCCCAAGGACTCCTGAACTGCTATTTAAGAAGTTCAGTTACCTTGAGACCCCCATGCAGTAAAGACCACCTCAGACACATGTTCTACAGTCTCAGCTAAGTCTGGCCTTCCAGTCATCCCTGCCAAGAGGCAGACAGGAGAATGCAGCCATTACATGAACCAGTGGAATAACACCAAGTAGTCTCCATTGAGGCTATGCAGAACAGAAGAATTTCCCACCAAGCTTATCTTAATCCATAAAATTATGAAATAAAATGGTTCATGCTTTGTTGTTGTAATGTGCCGTCGAGTCAGACCCTCCTTGGGTTTCCAAGGCAGTATCACTAAAGAAGTACATTGACCCATCTTCCTTCTGAGGAGTGGCTGGTGGGTTTGAACCACCAGCCTTCTGGTTAGCAGTCAAGTGCCTTAGTCACTACACTACCAGAGCTCCCAAGTTTGTGCTTCACACCTCTAAATTTTAGGGTCATCTGTTATGTAGGAACAGATAAAGAGAAGAGAGTGTTTCTCTTTTCCTTACTCAATCTATTTTCCCTCCAATATGCCCTTACTTTATAACATGGCTACAAATATTCTTTAAATATCAAGCCTAACCCTGCCCTCCTATCGAATTATTCTAATTCTTAAAATATACCTACCGATGAATCCTGAAGATGGTGGGTTGGGCTGAATCTTCTCCTTAGTGTTCTCCTGGATAATGTCCCAAAGCTGCCATATAAATTTAGGATGAAGAATATAAAATGGCTGATTTGGGTTTCTCTGACGATGCTGAATATATGGAGTGAACAGGTTGTAGTCTGGCTTCTTATACCACTGAGAGAAAAAAAAAAAAAAAAAATCAGCACAATCAAGTACAGAGGATACACAGTAGAAAGAAAATAGGGCAGTGCCCAGGAAGGTGGATTTAGAGGCTGAGGGGACAGGCTGGAGTAAGAGGAAGATGGGAAAGATAATGATGCATCACTTCTGTAGGTGCTTCCTCACCAGTGTTAGGGAAAGAGTACAAAGAGAGATCAAGATTCTAGACCCAGCAGGGGCTAATGCTTTATTCTTCAGTAAATTGAAGGAAACAGGCTAGACTAGGAGTTGGCAGACTATTTCTCGGAAGGGCCAAATGCTAAACATTTAGGCTATGGGGGCATATGTTCTCTCTCACAACTATTCAACTCTTCTCATTGTAGCATAAAAGCAGCCTAGACAATATGCAATGGATGGGTATGTCTGTGTTCCAATAAAACTTTATTTACCAAAACAGGAAATAGCCAGAGTTGTTCTACGCCTATAGTTTGCTGGCCTCAGGGCTCAATGTGTTTAAAAACAAGTTTCCAAATCTAATACGTAATGACAGAAAAATGTAGTTACCAGGTGTGGAGCTGGGGAAGGGGCATAAAAGAACATTTTGGGGTGATGGGAATATTCTATCTCTTGCTTGTGGTGGTGGATGCATGAATGCATAAATTTGGTAATACTTACAAAAATGTATACTTATATTTATTGTATGTAAATTCTTGCATAATAAAGATGATTTAAAATATGTCTTTAGAGATGTCTCAGGTGCCATCATGAAATGGGATTGGGAGAAGGTATATGAGGTGTGTGAAGTGTGTATTCCCTTCAAAGAGATTTCATGGGTTGTATATATAAAGGTCCCAAATAATATTCCACTGATGAAAGGGTTCTATGGCTTTAAAAGTTTGAAAATGATTGGACAAGATTACCTTGTAGCCCCCAAGCTACAAGGCCCTAGGAAGAAAGTAAGAGAAGTGTGTAACCAGAGGAGGAATTGTTCTTTTTAATCTTCCTCTCCCTGACCTCACATAGCATTATCAAAGTGCAGGCCCCCATAGCAATGGGTCATGTCACTTGGGTTTCAGCTTGGTTGCTGCCCATATCCTTCAAGTGGGACAGCACTGTGCCCTGGGCTTGGATGCTTCTAACAGAGGAAGAAACAAGCTCAAATAGCTAGAAGCTCACTGTCTGTTCACAAAAAGCAAGAAAACTATCAGAGCTTAAAACGAGAAAACCTCAGACTGGGGAGGAAGGTGGAAAGTATACACACTCATTTGAAGCTAGATTCTCAATAGAAGATACATATGGGAATCAACTGAAAAGTGTTCTCATGAAATATACATAAAGGATCCCCCACTTCTGGAAATCGGGCTATGACAGAAGTAGTTTGGAAGATACTCTGGGTGATTCCGATTTGCATCCCTAGTTAAGAACCAGTTAGCAATAATGCTACTTAAACATCCAGCCTCGGGCTCAAGATGCACAATGCCCAAACCCTCTTCTTTCTGAGGGACTCCTTCTTCCTTGGGCAGCTTTCTTAGAAAGTTACTCTTTATGAGGAACCAATGTGTATCATCTCACATTCATCACACAAAGAAAAGTTGCATTTTCTTGAGGCCAAGGCAAAAGACATTCATTTACACAGCTGATGGCATCATTCTCTAGGTTAACTATCATCCAATATTACCACCCTTCATTAGAAAACAAGTACACCAGCTCTCCTTGCAAGGTTTCACCAAAAGTAGCTAGCTGCTTGTTCTATAGACAGGCTAATATTTACTGAAATATCACTAATATAACTTGCTTGTATTTTGGTGGCTAGTAATAATCTTGTTCAAGCTTTATCACATAAAATTAAAAAGGCTCAGAGGCAGAAGTCAAAAAAAGGCACATTGAACAAATGCCTGTCACAGGTTTCATTGGAATAATGAGCTGTTGACTCACATAGTTTAGATTTTCTTGCCAAGTACTTCCAATGTATTTTAAAAAGGTCTTATAACTACTTGGAAGGTGATGTAACCCTATTGCAATAAAAAATAAAAAAAAAACTCTAATTAGCCCAACTTCCAGTGTAAGTGGAAATTTCTAAACATTTAGACAGTCTACATTTTTTTCTTAAATACCCTAGAACAGAAGCATTTCAGCATGAGATGGATAATGCTCCCAAGTATGCTACTGTAACCAGGAAAGAGAATGGTGTTAATACATATGTATGTAATTAGCACCCATGCTCAGCTTCATTCTGTCAAAGTCAGGGATTACCCTGACTTGCTCTCATTACTAATCAGTCCATTACCATTGGGGTAATCAAAAACAAACCAAACTCACTGCCATCGAGTCGATTCAGACTCATAGTGACCCCTCCTTGGGTTTCTGAGGCAGTATGTCTATGGAAGTAGATTGTCCGATCTTCCTTTCGAGGAGGGGTTGGTGGGTTTGAACCGCCAACCTGCCAGCCTTCTGGTTCACAGTCAAATGCCTTAGGCACTACACCACCAGAGCAATGTAATGGCTTGAACTCTGTTCCCTCAAAATATATGTTGGAATCCTAACCTATCCTAATTTATACCTGTAGATGTGATCTCATCTGGGAACACTGTTTTCTTTGTTATGTTAATGATGCCCTATCAGTGTAGGGTGTGTCCTAAACCTAATGACTTTTGAGTTATAAGGAGCTGCATAATCACAGAGACAAGGAAGCCCAAATGGCAGAAGACAGATGCTTCATGAAGAGCAGCAAGAACGCCAAAGCTACAGAAATGGCAGAAAGAGAAAGAGAGCCTACAGCCTTCCCCTGAGCTGGTACACTGAACATGGACTCTAGCCTCTTAAATTATATGAAAATTTCTGTTTTTTAAAGCCATACACTTATGCTATTTCTGTTACAACAGTACTACTAAACAGGCCCCGAAGGAAGCACTTACAAGGTTAAGATTTGCAGAATAAGGAGCAGGGTCCCATGCCACCAAAATGACGTCTTTATACAATGAACTGTCAGTGAAGTGATGGTTGGGGTTAGTCAGGATCTGCAAACATTTAGAAAACATATTCAAAATCAATGTTTACTTCATCAAAAATTGTAGTTTTAACAAATACGAAAATGAAAAAGAGGAATCAAAGCAAGAGAAAATGCTCCTCAGACTTGCTATTTTCCTGCGGAGTCTGGGGAGGGAGAGGCATTGCACGCTGAAGCACTTAAAGATGTTTAGGGAAATGAGCTTTTTCCTTTATATATATATATATATATATATATATAAAGCCAGTCCTTAAATGTTCACCAGCACTTTATCCCTATCTAGTAGTACCCAATCAACTCAGCAGAGATGTAATTCCCTAGTTAATTCAGCACCCCCCCACCACCACCACCACAATTGCTTTGACAGGTAATTTGGAGAGAGAGGCTGGAGTGGATGGATTGGGTTATTAAGGCGCCTCTGGAGTGCCAGCCTCAGGACAAACGGGACACAGAAAGAGCCAATATAGTTGAATCAGCCCCAGGACACGACAGCCCTGTCTCTGTGGCTCTATCTGGTTCTGGATGAGTTCTTCAATCTCATCTGCCAATCATCTTTTTTTTACTACAGTTTTGGAAAAATGTAACAGACTGTTGTTCCTTAGTTTCAAGAAGCACTTTTTTTTTCCTTCATAATTTAATGCTTCTGAAAGTAGTAATATGTATTTTAATTTGGTGGGCTTTATCTCCTCCTGTCTGAAAAGTTGTCATTAAATGAATGGTGGATCTTACCACCAATGACATCTGTGAATTAAGGAAATACGGTAATTGTTTCTTCCCTCGCTGTAGGCTGCCTGGCTCAGTGAACTATACAGAAAGCTAATCTTTTGTTCTGCAAGCAACTCATAATAAATCACTCATCACCTCATTTCTATATAGTTTTAGAACTCTAGAAATTGTGGTTTGTTCTGAGAATAATTTCATTACACATTTGGTAGACTTTCTTAAAACCTTACAGATTGCAACCTTACAGATTGGTGAAGCAAGAAAAAGTACTTTCATTTTCAAGAGTACAATCAAGTTTCATTTTTTAAAAAATTAAAATACACTAAAGCTCAAAGCTACCCTATGGATCCTCAGATTTCCTTTAATAAATTCCTAACAGAGATCTTTCTAGGTCCTAGAAAATATCCAGTGACTAAAATCATATATAAACTGTAATAGTCTAAAAAACTCTACACACATCAATGGGTTCTCAATAAACTGTGATAGAGCTGGGAAATGTTCAGAAATGTATCACATATCACCAAATCGGTATCTGCAAAGATTGCTCATATCTTCATAAAGGCTCAGTGATTGCTTAAGCTGTTTCTGTGACTCTAAATCAAGGGAATGTGCAAAAGATTGTTTTGTTTGTTTTTAAAGAGTTGGAGGCTTTTTTGAGAATTGCTCCACAGATGTCACTGATTAGGAGTCATAGTGTGTGTGAACAGCCTAGGTGTGGATCTTGCTTATCCACTTTTGCTGGATGATCATGGGCAAGTTCTTGATCTTTCTCAGCTCAGCTGCCTCTTTCTTTTTTTTTTATTGTGCTTTGGGTGCAACTTTACAGAGCATAATTTATTTTATTTAACAGATTGTGTATATTTGGTTTCACTCCCCATTTACCATCCCCAACCTTAACCACTCTCCTCCTCTCCCTTCCTAGTGACCCCCCCAATCCCTGTGCCCATCTTAGTTATGTACTCCTGTCTGTCCAGCTTTTCCTCCATGTGAATGTTGCTCCTCTGATGCCCCATGGCCGATTGCTCCAAGGGATGTTAACTCCGTAAAGTAGGTAGGTGCATTGCCCTGGCTTGGGTATTCTGGATGTAAGTCGTTCTACTGTTGGGCTGAGAGCCAGTCCTTGGGGGTGAGTCTTACGCCAGACCCAAAGTGTATCCCAGGGCCATAGTCTTGGGGGTCCCACCAGACTCCATCTAACCAGTAATTCTGGTCATTATTGTGTTTTCAAATTGTATTCCACATTTTTCCTCCCACTCTATCCAGGATCTCCTGTTTTGATCCCTTCCCCAGTGGCTGGCATTGGTAGCCGCACACCATCTAGTTCTTCTGGTCTCAAGGTCCATCATGTCCTAGGGCTGACTGCTTCCAAATGCCCTTGGTTTTCTTCACTCTTCTTTGTTTCAGATGATAGGAGACCATTAGCTGCATCTTAGATGGTCACTCAAATGCTTTTAAGACCCTAGTTGTTACTCACCAAAGTAGGTTGTGGAACAAAATTTTTATGTACTATGTTGTGCCAACTGAAACTGGTGTCCCCCAATACTATGGTCCTGAGTTGGCAGATCTGGTGGTTCTCTCTCCCCATGTGTCTGGCTGTCTATAAGGGATTGCTCCATGTCTGTCTTCTGTTGCTTCTGTAATGACTGCAGGTACTTTGTATCACTAGTATCTGCAAGATTATCCTCAGCTGAATCTATCAATCGTCTAGAGTGTAGTCTTGTTCACCAACTGCCATCTGACCTTCTCAGTTGTCTATGTATTTATCTGTAGCCTGGTGTTTGGTGTTAGTGGTAATGCAGTGTTGTGGATATACTGGTATTAGCCTCACCTCAGCTGCCTATTCATAAAATGGGTGTAATAGTCTTTTAGGATTATGGCCTAAGTGAGATATTGAATATAAGGCCTAATAGGATATCAATACAAGGAATCATTTATTACATGCTAGATATCTCATTTTTGTACCTTTGCTTTTCTGCCCTTTATTCCCTTCCTCTCCCATTGCCATTACTTTTTTAATTTTTTTTTCTAAGTTAAACTGATCTTTCCCTCAGTTCACAGAATATAACATGTTAAGTCTATGGCTATTATATATATATCTATATATTTCTATATCTATTCCAATTTTTCCTTTAGATCTTTTTTTTTTTTTCCTTTTTCTTGCTAATGTCATGCCTAAATTCCTATTTCTCTGTAATTTCTTTGTAATTACAAGACCCGTAGAAATAACCAAATGCTATGGTCAAGGATAATTAGTTAATTTCTTTTCACTCTTCACTCATCCAGTTAAACTATTTACCTAAAAAATGTCTGTATACAAAAACACCCTCTCCTTCTTACCTGGGAATTAATGATGCGCACGGTGGTTTTATTTCCAACATCTTTCTCATAACCACGTGTAGGAGCAGAGTTAAATCTCAAAACTGCATCATGAGAATCTAAGGGCACATAAGTGACAAACTTACTTTTTTTTTCTCTGTAGAATCACATAATCTAGGAAAAAATGTTAAAGTGAATCTTTTAATACCTGAAGCTAATTAGACACCATCAATAAAATTAAGACAGCCACACATATTTTTCAGATAATTTACTGTTTATTTAGAATAAGATCCTGGGTAGACGAGCAAATCAACATGCAAGTATCTATAAATTTTCAATTACAAGTGATCCTTTATCATTTAAGTTCTATTTAGAAGTCTGTTATATTTTCACATTCATTATATGTGATATATGTGTAGCCCTTCTTCCAAAAATTCCAAAATGTTTGCAAGATGGAATCTAGAAGAGCATGTAAAGATGCTAGAAAACAGGCAGTGATTCTAAGGTGTCTTATTGCTTGTTGAAGACAGAAGCTCATCATGACAGATACAATCGTGTCTAATGCAGCTGCCTTCACAAAGATTAAGTGGCTCTCTCACACTGGAGAGCAACAGCCTTGATTTCAACCTTACAACTACTAACTTGCACAGGCATACCTTGTTTTATCATACTTCGGTTTACTGTGCTTCACAAATACTGCATTTTTTTTTTTTTTAATCGAAAGTACATGGCAACCCTGAGTCCAGGAAGTCTATGTGCCAACAGCATGGGTTCCTTTCATGTCTCTGTGTCACATTTTTGTAATTCTCACAATATTTCAAATTTTTCATAATGCTATTGCATACTTAATAGACTACAGTATAGCATAAAGATAACTTTTATATGCACTGGGAAACCAAAAAATTCGTGTGACTCACTTTATTGCAATATTCACTTTATTGCAATGGTCTGGAAATGAACTCGCAATATCTCCAAGATATGCCTGTACTTAAAAAGAAAACCAACCTTGATTTCTGTGCAGCCTTACAGATTGGTGAAGATACCAGGAAGACATGAGCAAGAGAAATATTAGATCCTTCTCTATTCCCAGGAAAGGTCTGATCTACTGCTGCAGCACCGGAGGATGGGAGAGACCACCAATAACACCAAGTAACAAGGCACTTTCTACTCTGCAGTAGCACACTCTGGTTTGCCAAGCTTGAACTATGGTGGTGTAGTTCCTAAGGCATTTGACTGCTAACCAGAAGGCTGGCAGTTGAAACCCACCAGCCACTCTTTGGAATGAAGGCTGGGCAATCTACTTCCATAGAGACACCACTTCAGAAACCCAAGGAGGGGCTGCTATGAGTTAGAACTGAGTTTTGATTTGGTTCTTTAGCTTCTTTGACTTGACATTCAGACCTTCCCAAGGTCTCTGAATGCTGGGCTAAAGGGTCCTGGGTGAAAACAAGGCCTGCACATCAGCTCCCACATGACAGATGTTGACAAGAAGAAGAAGTAGAGGAAATTTTGAAAAAAACATTAAATCCCTTGCCATCGAGTTGATTCCAATTCATAGAGACCCTATAGCACAAAGTAGGACTACACTACAGGGTTTCCTAGGCTGGAATCTTTACAGAAGCAGACTGCCACATCTTTCTACAATAGAGTGGCTAGTGGGTTTGAACAAACAACCTTTCAGTTGCAGCTGAGCACTTAACCACTCTGCCACCAGGGTGTCTTCCTGAGGAAAACAGGTTTGCCTAATTAATGGATGGAGTGAGGCCCTGGGTGGTGCAAATGGTCAAAGCACTCTATTGCTACTGGAAGGTTAGAGGTTGTATAGTCCATTCAGAGGCACCTAGGAAGAAAGGACTGGCAACCTACTTCCCCCAAATCAGCCAGTGAAAACCCTAGGGAGCACAGATCTATTCTAATACACATTGGGTCACTATGAGTTAGAGCCAACTCAATGGCAATTAGTATTGGGATTAAGATGGGAAAGGGTGATAATTTTCCTTTCCACAAAGCAGTCTATAAACATGTATCTGTCTTAAAATTTCCTAAGCCAGCTAATGTGCTTCCCAGAAAACAGCTTGAAACCAGCGTCCATCAGCAATAAAGGAATTTCTATAGGCTGTCAAAAGCTTCTTTAACTTGGAACAATTACAATGCCTGTTTGTGAGAGAGTAAGAGGTGAGGTTATGAATTTGCCAAAAGGCCATGTGGGCACCCAGCTGCTGCCATCCAGATGATAATCAAGTCCTCCACCTCCTCATCAGTCTCCTTGGGAGTGACCCTTCTTCCTTCTGCCTAATCTGTGGAAATTCAGCACACATGCCACTAGTAAAATGTTACAAAAGTTGCCTTTATTGACAATGCCTGAAGTCAAAATAATTCACATTCTAGTTTTGAGAACCAAGATTAATAAGCTTTCAGGAAACAATGAACATATAAAGGATACCTGGCTATGTCATCGGAAAAAAATCCTGTAATGTTCTTTTAGAGGAAATTTTGTAGGAATTGGCAAACTATGGCCCGAGGGCCAAATCTGGTCTGCCACCTGTTTCAGTAAAGAACATTTTATTGCAACACAGACATGCCCATTCATTTACATATTGGCTGTACAGCAGTGTTGAGTTGTTGCAACAGAGATACCGTATGGTCCACAAAGCCTAAAATATTTACTCTCTTGCTCTTTAAAGAAAGCATTTCTGGATCCCTACATTTTAGGAGACCTATGCTTTGTATAAAGGAGCTCTGGTGATATAGTGGATAAGGCATTTTGCTGCTAACCACAAGGTCAGCGGTTCAAACCTACCAGCTGTTCTGCAGAAGGAAGATGGGGTGATCTACTTCCGTAAAGATTTACAGCCTCAGAAGCTCAATGGGGGTAGCTATGAGCCAGAATTGCCTTGATGGCAGTGAGTTTGGTTTTGGTTTTTTTGGTATGCTTTGTATAAAGAGACCTGGTGGTGCAGTGGTTAAGTGCTCAGCTGCTAACCAAAAGATTGATGGTTCAAGCCCACCAGCCTCTCTGTAGGAGAAACAAGTAACAGTCTGCTTCCCTAAAGATACAGCCATGGAAACCCTATGAGACAGTTCTACACTGTCCTATTGCATTGTTATGAATTGGAATTGACTGGACGGCAGTTCTACTCTACAGCACATGGGGACACCATGAGTCAGAATCAATGCAAGAGCAATGGGATTGGTTTAACAGGTTATCTTACTCTTAAAATGGATCAGTTACCCATGCATAACTTTGGAATATCATGAATTGATCATTTGAGAAATACTGGTTCAATGAGCTATATAGCTCTTCTAAGTGTTGGTGTATTCTTTAAAAAGCACATACACACAAAAATCACAATCACTAATATTATCATAGAGATCATCAGTTTTTAAGTATAAGAAGCTTCCAAGCTCATAGTTGAAAGCTTGAATTTTATCATTAGCAACAAATACTGTCAGGTTTTTTTTTTTCCAAAGCGACAGTCTCAATTCATTTTGGAGAAAATGGTTGCCAAACCCCTCAGCCTGAATAATCAAATTATGACTGTAAAAATTACCTTTTACAAAAAGAGTGGCTAGTTCAGCTCACAACTCAATAGTACAAGTGCTTCCTCATTGTGTACTGGTACGCAGGTGGGCTTTTTGTGTATTTTCCATTTTGTCACACAGTATCTTAAAAACGTGTACTCAAGGGCTGATATTTAATAAAATATTATCATTGATAATAATATTTAATAAAATCTTATTAATAAAATATTGAATAAAATGCTTCATCAAGGACAGCCACAGATAAAACTGGCACCCCATCCCCCCTTTCTTTTACTGTGGATGTTTGGCAGTGAAGAACATACAATACAGTGGCTACTAGTATAGTTTAGTGCCATTGCAAGATTGGTGCTAAAAAGGCAGCAGTTCTACCCACCAGTGCTTTTGCACTATCAGCTAATAAGGAAAACAACCTCTTAGTATTACTACAAAAAATAGTTTTCACCTTGTGGATCCTTGAAAAGGTCTTAGGGACCTCAAGGTTACATGGACCATACCATGTAAACTGCTAGCCTAGGGGAGCCTGAGCACTCTCACAGGCAGAGAGTAAGATGAGGCTCAAAACAGGTAATTGCCAGGTACTAAAAAGCAGTAAGTGACAGCACCTAGGCAAGAAGTATGATGCTGTCACTCCTAAGCTACAGTATTCCTGCCTTTGTCAGTATTATTGACTCGTGGTGACCCCACTAAATCATGCTGCCTCCTTAGTCACAATCTCTGGCTAAAAGTAATATAAACAAGCTAAGAGTCTCAAGTAGTTGGTGCATTTTAAGTGAACTAAATATTAATTTCAAATTCATAATATCCTGGAAATTGCCCAGCATTTAAATGCAGAAGCACCCAGCTACTAACTGAAAGGTTGGCAGTTTGAACCCACCGAGAAGCAGCTTGGAAGAAAGACCTGACAACTTGCTTCTGAAAGGTCACAACCATAAAAAGTCTATGGAGCCCAATTCTACTCTGAAACACATGGGGTCGTCATGAGTCGGAAGTGACCCAAGGACAATGGGTTGGTTGTTGATTCTATTCTACATTGAGCTATGTTTTAAGCCTTCCAACAACTTCACAAGGCACAGGATGTGGGAATATAATTTAGCTTAACTCTTTTGGAAATGGTATTAGTCTGAAGAGTTAAAATGCCAAACCCGAGGCGGGGCAAGATGGCGGACTAGGCAGAAGGATTGCACAGACCCTCTTCAACAAAGAAAAGGGAAACCAATTAACACAGACACAGAAGACA